TGGATGAATGAATGGATGAATGGATGGATGAATGGATGAATGAATGAATGGATGGGCGTTTCTTTGACTATTTATAGGCAAATATGGGCGTTACGTGAAGCCCGCAAAAGCTGCACCGCATTTCGAGTCGGTTGTGATTTATAAAGGGAAACCGGCGTAGGAAGTGCTGTACGCACTTTCCTCGCCGGTACGCAATGTTTGGTTTCTGTACCTATTTTTTGGATTTCCACTACGTAAGAAACCTTCCCACGTGAATCCTACGCACGGCGGTATACATGAGGCCCCTGGTCATCAAAGGTAGGCCTAAGTCATTTTCAATGTGGGCCGTCGTGCCGACTTCATTCATTTGTAATTGTTACTTGGCAGTGGGTGCCCTGTCATGATAGGTGTTTATATAAATGGTGTTGTTGTGTGGTAGAGGGTCGCTGTCATTGATGCGTTTTGCACCCCGGGCCGCTGTTTTGATATTACGCTGAAGTATACGCTGAGACGTAACATCTCTTCTTTTTTTTCGGGGGGGGGGTCAGAGGGCCTAGGTATAAAAGTCACGGCTCGCCACTGGCTGTGGCGTTTTGTGAAATGCTGTAGTGTCTTGCACTTCAGGGCCACCGTACTACTCTTAGAACTATACACACAGATATTAATATAAATACAGAGCTGTTTATAATGAAATCCTTTTATTGCAGAACATAAAAGCAGAGATCACAAACCCGGGAGAACTCAATTAATAATAATTAATCATTAATAATAAGCAGAATCATGTTTAAAGGAAGGCTTTAATAATGAAAGAATAGCACAGGTATGGCAGGAGGAGCAGTGATCTCTACATGACTCCATGCAAACAGAGACGTCTGATTTAGTATTTCATGTTCACATTTGTTTAGATGTGGAGTTTCTCCTCCGGCCATACGTACATTATTATTATAGTGATTTGATGTATGATTACAGAAGAGGGTTAGGGACACCATCTTGAGTTCTGTTCAGTGTTTTAACTCGTGGACACATCCCAACATTTATTGTTAAAAAAAAACAATTATCCACATTTTTTACGTTAATCTGAGAAAAAAAACTAAAAATAACTTTCAAAAGAAAAACTTTATTTTCTCAGAATTACGATTTTTTTTCCTCACAATTCTGACTTTGATCCCAGAAAAAAACGTCTTGACTTTTGGGATCAGATCTCAATTTGTTTCCTCCTCCTCTTCCGTAGAGACTAAAGTTTCATTTTGATTTCATTTGATGTAAAACCCCAGATATTTCGGACTTTTCTCAAAACAAAATAACCCAATCCCTGTCGGTCAGATCTTCCTCTTCCGTATAAAATAATATTAAAAAAGTGAATTACATTTGAATCATACTTGTCATTCTTGTCATATAGAATATAAAAATCCCTAAATGTAAATCTGCACCAACAGAGCAAGACGTTCCTTTAAGAGTGAACATTAACATGAATAATATGCTTCGTGGGGGTGATTTGATCCGAGGGATCCTGGAGCAACTGAGGGTTATTAAAGCTCTCAACACAAGGCGCGTTCGGGATATCAGTAAAAAATAATACAAATAATTATAATAATGAGGATGCAGCCACGGGGTAATAATCAGAGCGGTTATTTAAATATCTTCTGAGATGATGACGCGATGGAGGGTCTATGGCTCCACTCTGACCCGAGAGGTTTTCTGTAAACACTTTATAATCTCAGATAGTATTTATGTTGTTCTCGTAAATGGGTGATGTCGCCGGCTTTAACCTCAGGTATGTCAGAGGTTCCCTGGGTTTATCCCCGGAGATGTGAACACTGAAGCAGACCATAATCACGCGTCAGTTATTAAAGCTGAATAATGTCTGAGCGGAGCTTCAGAGACTCGCTCTGCTCGAGGAATGAGACACGCTATGGTACAACAAATTACAAAAATAAGATTCTGAATAATCTGACATCCTTTTTACATCCTGCTCTTCTTCTTCTGTGGTGGTATAGACAGTCCTGCTCTTCTTCTTCTGTGGTGGTATAGACAGTCCTGCTCTTCTTCTTCTGTGGTGGTATAGACAGTCCTGCTCTTCTTCTTCTGTGGTGGTATAGACAGTCCTGCTCTTCTTCTTCTGTGGTGGTATAGACAGTCCTGCTCTTCTTCTTCTGTGGTGGTATAGACAGTCCTGCTCTTCTTCTTCTGTGGTGGTATAGACAGTCCTGCTCTTCTTCTTCTGTGGTGGTATAGACCGTCCTGCTCTTCTTCTTCTGTGGTGGTATAGACAGTCCTGCTCTTCTTCTTCTGTGGTGGTATAGACAGTCCTGCTCTTCTTCTTCTTCTGTGGTGGTATAGACAGTCCTGCTCTTCTTCTTCTGTGGTGGTATAGACAGTCCTGCTCTTCTTCTGTGGTGGTATAGACAGTCCTGCTCTTCTTCTGTGGTGGTATAGACAGTCCTGCTCTTCTTCTGTGGTGGTATAGACAGTCCTGCTCTTCTTCTGTGGTGGTATAGATAGTCCTGCTCTTCTTCTGTGGTGGTATAGACAGTCCTGCTGTTCTGGAGGCAGTGCTTATGATATGAAGGCCGGTGAGCAGCCGTTCTGAGCGCTGCTGTCTCTGGAGAGTGGGCTGGAGCAGGCGGCTCCTCTCTGGGGGGTCCTGAGAGCCGGGGGGGGGGCCGGAGGGTCCCAGCCCAGGATGGAGCTGATGGAGGCGGGGAGGTCCTGAGGGAATATACACTTTAAACACGTCTTCTTTCACACAATTCTGTTTTATTTATTCCTCCAAATCTCAACATTCTGACTTATTGTTTCAAAATCTAAACATTCTAACTTTATTCATACATTTTTCTCAAAAATCTGTATTTTTTCTCAAAAATCGGACTTTCCTGAAAATGTCAACGTCTTTCCTCGGCACACAGAGGAAAACCCAGAATGTGAAATATCAGTGAGGTTGAACGTACCTTGCAGCTCTTGATCTGCAAACCGATGCCTTCGGCTTTCTGAAGGATCTCTTCTATTTCCAGCTTCATGGAGAGCTCGTTAATGTGCTGCCGAAGAGTCATGAGAACAACCTTTAATAACTCGCTATTTATTACATAGATACGATTTCTACATATTTTAAAGACATTTTTAAGATATTTCTCTTGTATATTTTGAATAATGTTTTGCTCACCTTGAGGATCTCGTTGAAGCCGTAGTTCTCCTCCATGATCTTCTGCTTCTCTGAGTCCAGGATGGCACAGCACAGCAGCAGGTGGAAGTTCTGACAGGGGAGCCCGGTCCACATCACCTGAGGAGACACACCACAGGTACAGGTACAGGTGAGCACTCAGGAGGACACACCACAGGTACAGGTGAGCACTCAGGAGGACACACCACAGGTACAGGTGAGCACTCAGGAGGACACACCACAGGTACAGGTGAGCACTCAGGAGGACACACCACAGGTACAGGTGAGCACTCAGGAGGACACACCACAGGTACAGGTGTGCACTCAGGAGGACACACCACAGGTACAGGTGTGCACTCAGGAGGACACACCACAGGTACAGGTGTGCACTCAGGAGGACACACCACAGGTACAGGTGTGCACTCAGGAGGACACACCACAGGTTACAGGTGTGCACTCAGGAGGACACACCACCGGTACAGGTGAGCACTCAGGAGGACACACCACAGGTACAGGTGAGCACTCAGGAGGACACACCACAGGTACAGGTGAGCACTCAGGAGGACACACCCACAGGTACAGGTGTGCACTCAGGAGGACACACCACAGGTACAGGTGAGCACTCAGGAGGACACACCAAAGGTACAGGTGAGCACTCAGGAGGACACATCACAGGTACAGGTGAGCACTCAGGAGGACACACCACAGGTACAGGTGAGCACTCAGGAGGACACACCACAGGTACAGGTGAGCACTCAGGAGGACACACCACAGGTACAGGTGAGCACTCAGGAGGACACACCACAGGTACAGGTGTGCACTCAGGAGGACACACCACAGGTACAGGTGAGCACTCAGGAGGACACACCACAGGTACAGGTGAGCACTCAGGAGGACACACCACAGGTACAGGTGAGCACTCAGGAGGACACACCACAGGTACAGGTGTGCACTCAGGAGGACACACCACAGGTACAGGTGAGCACTCAGGAGGACACACCACAGGTACAGGTGTGCACTCAGGAGGACACACCACAGGTACAGGTGTGTAAGTGTCCAGGTGTGCGGAGGTGTGTGTAGGTGTGTGTAGGTGTGTCCAGATGTACGGAGGTGTGTGTAGGTGTGTCCAGGTGTGTAGGTGTGTCCAGGTGTGTGTAGGTGTGTCCAGGTGTGCAGGTGTGTGCAGGTGTGTCCAGGTGTGTGTAGGTGTGTCCAGGTGTGTGTAGGTGTGTCCAGGTGTGTCCAGGTGTGTGTATGTGTGTCCAGGTGTGTGTAGGTGTGTCCAGGTGTGTGCAGGTGTGTGCAGGTGTGTGGAGGTGTGTCCAGGTGTGTGTAGGTGTGTCCAGGTGTGTGTAGGTGTGTCCAGGTGTGTGTATGTGTGTCCAGGTGTGTCCAGGTGTGTCCAGGTGTGTCCAGGTGTGTCCAGGTGTGTGTAGGTGTGTCCAGGTGTGTGTAGGTGTGTCCAGGTGTGTGTATGTGTGTCCAGGTGTGTGTAGGTGTGTGCAGGTGTGTGTAGGTGTGTCCAGGTGTGTGTAGGTGTGTCCAGGTGTGTGTAGGTGTGTCCAGGTGTGTGCAGGTGTGTCCAGGTGTGTGTCCAGGTGTGTGTATGTGTGTCCAGGTGTGTGTAGGTGTGTCCAGGTGTGTGTAGGTGTGTCCAGGTGTGTGTATGTGTGTCCAGTAGGGGTGTAACGGTACACGTACCCGTACCGAAATTATTCGGTACGGGCCCTTCGGTTCGGTACAGGTGTGTACCGAAGTGTACCGAACGAATATAACGTTAAACGTAAAAAATTGAGAACGTGAACAACTTTTTGGAAGTAATCTCAGGTGCTGCGTCGCAGCGTTCAGAGTAATTTACTCACATTGGGTTCAACGCGTCATAGAGCGAGCAAGTCATTTCATTGGATGAGAGGCATACTATGAGAGCTGGTCAGAGGGATGCGTTCAAATGTAGTCAGTAATTTGAGGAACTGTCGAAAATTAATGGCGAACGCCGATAAAGTTGAGCTCGAAAATCCTCCAGCATCATTGAAGTCTCCGGTTTGGGAACATTTTGGTTTCGCAGTTACGTACAAGGATGACGGACAAAGACAGGTGGACCGAACCAAAGCTGTTTGTCGGCATTGTTCAACTAACATTGGTTGCGCGGCTGGCAATACATCAAACTTGCACACTCTTGAAAAGGCATCACCCGAACGTGAATATCACCGGTACCAAAAGAAAACAGACTGAAGTGCAAACCCAACTCCCACTAGCATTTAAGCCTCCACCACTCGCAGAAAGATCAGACCGAGCCAAAGCTATTACAAACGCCAAATATCCTTATGTTGCCATGTTAGCAAAGCGCTACCTGGCTGTATCTGCTACCTCTGTCCCTAGCGAGAGGGTGTTCTCCACATCAGGAGACATTGTTAGTGCCAGCAGATCTGCCCTTTCGGCAAGCAATGTGGACAAGTTAATCTTTCTTTAAAAAAACATGAAAATACAATGACAAGCAAGTCCTAATGTCAAGCTGGCTGCTTAGGAACTAGTACAGTTCAAATACAGATTATTTCAGTTCATCGAAAAGCTGCACCTTAATGTTTATTTTATTATATTTTGTATTTATTTGAGTGAATATTCACAGTTTAATAATAATTAAAAACCCAAAACTAATAGTTTATATTTTGTGAGTACTAGTAGCCTACAGTAAAGTTCAAATACAGATTATTTCAGTTCATCGAAATGCTGCACCTTAATGTTTATTTTATTATATTTTGTATTTATTTGAGTGAATACATTATTCACAGTTTAATAATAATAAATTTGTTTTGTGAAAAAAAATTCTGCTGTACCGAAAACGTACCGAACCGAACCGTGACCAAAAAACCGAGGTACGTACCGAACTGAAATGTTTGTGAACCGTTACACCCCTAGTGTCCAGGTGTGTGTAGGTGTGTCCAGGTGTGTGTAGGTGTGTCCAGGTGTGTGCAGGTGTGTGTCCAGGTGTGTGTAGGTGTGTCCAGGTGTGTGCAGGTGTGTGTCCAGGTGTGTGTAGGTGTGTCCAGGTGTGTGCAGGTGTGTGTCCAGGTGTGTGTAGGTGTGTCCAGGTGTGTGCAGGTGTGTGTCCAGGTGTGTGTAGGTGTGTCCAGGTGTGTGTAGGTGTGTGCAGGTGTGTGTCCAGGTGTGTGTAGGTGTGTCCAGGTGTGTGTAGGTGTGTGCAGGTGTGTGCAGGTGTGTGTAGGTGTGTCCAGGTGTGTGTAGGTGTGTCCAGGTGTGTGTAGGTGTGTGCAGGTGTGTGTCCAGGTGTGTGTAGGTGTGTCCAGGTGTGTGCAGGTGTGTGTCCAGGTGTGTGTAGGTGTGTCCAGGTGTGTGTAGGTATATGCAGCAGGGTTTCCGCTATAATTTTTTCTCGCCGGTCAAATGTCCGGACAGAATTTATTTTACCGGACAAATGTGAAACTTACCATTCATGTCTCAATAATAAGAATAAGAGTTGTGCAGCAGAGTTTCCGTTGGCAGGTAATCACCGGACTCTGACCGGATATGATGTTTAAAACTCAGTTAATGGGAGTCATTTTTATATCGCTTCAGTTTATAATCGTTACAGATCGAAAGTTCAGATTCATTTTTCAATAAATGATTCAACAAACAACAAAATTATTACATTCAAAGAAACTACTTGTAGCAGATGAAGCACATTCTTCAAAAGTTTACATTAACTTTGAATAATAACACGGGAGTCTCTCGACAGCCCGTCAGTTTCTCATGCAGCTCGCGGGGCTTCAGGTGATCAGAGCTGCGTGTCTCCGTCAGACTCAGCAGCTGATCTGATCTCTCTCCGGTTACACTTCACTCTCGTTTATGTCCATATCGATCAGTCCCAGCTCTCCTGATCGGCCTTTATTGAGAGCACCGATCAAACTATTAAGAGTGAATATCGGCACATAATGATCGCCGGCCAATCGATCGGAGCATCCCTAATTATTACCGGACATTTTGACCGGTAGGTTTTGTAATTACCGGCTAACGGAAACCCTGATATGCAGGTGTGTGTAGTTGTGTCCAGGTGTGTGTAGGTGTGTCCAGGTGTGTGTAGGTGTGTCCAGGTGTGTGTAGGTGTGTGTAGGTGTGTCCAGGTGTGTGTAGGTGTGTCCAGGTGTGTGTAGGTGTGTCCAGGTGTGTGTAGGTGTGTCCAGGTGTGTGTAGCAGGGTTTCCGTTAGCCGGTAATTACCAGTTGTTTTTAGCTGGTAAAATGTATTAAAAACCGGTAAATTCAAAACCTGCCGGTCAAAATGTCTGTTAATAATTAGGGATGCTCCGATCGATCGGCCACCGGTCATTATCGGCCGATATTCACTGTTAATAGTTTGATCGGTGCTCTCTATAAAGAACGATCAGGAGAGCTGGATCTGATCGATATGGACATAAACGCGAGTGAAGTGTAACCAGATGCGAGAGAGAGATCAGATCAGCTGCTGAGTCAGACCGAGACAAGCAGCTCTGCATAATCACCTGAAGCCCCGCCCTCTGTTTAGCGAGCTGCATGAGAAACTGACGGGCTGTCAGGAGAGAGAGGGAGGGAGAGGGGAAAAGAGAGCATCCGTTTCTCCCGTGTTATTATTCAAAGTTAATGTAAACTTTTGAATAATGTACTTCATCTACTACAAGTAGTTTGTTTGAATGTAATAATTATGTTGTTTGTTGTTTGTGGAATCATTTATTGAAAAATGAATCTGAATTTTTTCGATCTGTTACGATTATAAACTGAAGCAATATAAAAATGAGCCCCGTGAACTGAGTTTTAAACTGAAGCATATCTGCTCATAGTCCGGTAATTACCTGCTAACGGAAACTCTGCTACACAACTCTTTTTATTATTATTGAAATATAAACGGTAAGTTTCAAATGTATCCAGTAAAATAAATTCTGCCCGGACATTTGACCGGCGAGAAAAAATCCTAGCGGAAACCCTGGTGTGTAGGTGTGTCCAGGTGTGTCCAGGTGTGTGTACGTATGTGTAGGTGTGTCCAGGTGTGTGTAGGTGTGTGCATGGAGCCACCACAGAAGAAGACACTGACCTCCCAGAGCCTGAGGACGTCCTGGAAGCTGAGCTCTCTCTTGAATCTGATCAGCAGCCAGCGGAAACAGAAGTACAGGTAACCCGAGTCCTGAGCCTCTGCACACACACACACACTAATAAAACACACTGATAAAATGTCACAATACATAATGTAACATAAGAAAATATAAGATAATGACCCAGGTAGTTCCAGAAGGAGAGGTCGAGCAGTCTGAGCAGAGTGCTGAGCTGGATCAGCTGAGTCTTCATACCCTGCATCTGCTCCTCAAAGTTCTGGTGCTGACACACACACACACACACACACACACACACACACACACACACACACACACACACACACACACACACACACACACACACACACACACACACACACACACACACACACACACACACACACACACACACACACACACACACACACACACACACACACACACACACACACACACACACACACACACACACACACACATATATATATAAATCAGAATATATACATAATAAAAGTGTTATAATGTTTCAATACAGACATTTTTCAACACGTGTATGATTCAGCTTTTTCGCCTAGTTCAGGGATAAAATAAGTAATTATTATTAAAATACCATAAAGCATGTTATCTAATCACAAGTACTTGGGCAGGGATGCAAACTCATCAGGTATGAAAAAGGTGACAAGGATCCGAGCCCCCCGACCCCACGGAATATCGGCTTTAAATGAGGAATAACAGGATGTTAGCAGTCAGAACAACTAAAGCAGGTAATAATAACAGAAACGCCAAAGAGTCAAATCTAATAGAAATATATAAAAGCATTTATTTGAATTGTGGAGCAGTCAGTTTATCATTTAGGCAGCACTGTTGAGCATTTTGAAAATGTATTGTCATGCCTCTGTGCAAGGCTTAGTCTTTCTATCTGTATAGCCACTGGTGTAAAGTAACTAAGTTCATAAACTCAACAAGTACTATACGTGGGTACAATTTTGAGATACTTGTACTTCATTTAAGTATTTCCATGTTCTGCTACTGTGTACTTCTACTCCTCTACAGTTCAGAGGTAAATGGTGTACTTCTACTCCTCTACAGTTCAGAGGTAAATAGTGTACTTCTACTCCTCTACAGTTCAGAGGTAAATGGTGTACTTCTTCTCCTCTACAGTTCAGAGGTAAATGGTGTACTTCTACTCCTCTACAGTTCAGAGGTAAATGGTGTACTTCTTCTCCTCTACAGTTCAGAGGTAAATGGTGTACTTCTACTCCTCTACAGTTCAGAGGTAAATGGTGTACTTCTTCTCCTCTACAGTTCAGAGGTAAATGGTGTACTTCTACTCCTCTACAGTTCAGAGGTAAATGGTGTACTTCTACTCCTCTACAGTTCAGAGGTAAATGGTGTACTTCTTCTCCTCTACAGTTCAGAGGTAAATGGTGTACTTCTACTCCTCTACAGTTCAGAGGTAAATGGTGTACTTCTACTCCTCTACAGTTCAGAGGTAAATGGTGTACTTCTACTCCTCTACAGTTCAGAGGTACATGGTGTACTTCTACTCCACTACAGTCCAGAGGTAAATGGTGTACTTCTTCTCCTCTACAGTTCAGAGGTAAATGGTGTACTTCTTCTCCTCTACAGTTCAGAGGTAAATGGTGTACTTGTACTCCACTACATGTATTAATACCTTTAGTTACTTCACAGATCTGGATGAATGATGTGAAATATAACCAAGTGTTAAATCAGACTTTAGTTCCACCTGGAGTAAATCCACCAGCTACCCTGCAGTATACAAAGCCATTCAGACTAGCTGCACCTTCACCAGCTTTGAGAACACTTTCATGATCAATCATTATAAAACATATCATATATATTATTCTGAAATGGACCAATCTGCACAACGACTACTTTTACTGTCTTTAACTATATTTAGATGAGAATACTTTTCTACTTTCACTTGAGGAACATTTTGAATGCAGGACTTTTACTGTAACAGAGTATTCCTACACTCTGGTACTTTCACTCAAGTACAAGACCTGAGTACTTCTACTTTTACTCAAGTACAAGATCTGAGTACTTCTACTTTTACTGTCGCTACTTTAACTATATTTTGATGATAATACTTTTGTGCTTTTATTTGAGGAACATTTTGATTGCAGGATTGTTCCTACACTCTGGTACTTCTACTTTGACTCAAACCTGAGTACTTGTACTTTTACTAAAGTACAAGATCTGAGTACATCTACTTTTACTCTAGTACAAGATCTGAGTACTTCTACTTTTAATCAAGTACAATATCTGAGTACTTCTACTTTTAATCAAGTACAAGATCTGAGTACTTCTACTTTTACTCAAGTACAAGATCTATACTTATACCACCTGTTTATAGCCTATGAAAAAAACTATTAGAAAACGAAGGCTAAAGCTAACGTTAGCACATAGTGACAATGTATGCTAGCTAGCTAGCTCAACGATAATATTGCGACAGAAAAACTTTTCAGTGCACATCACGCTTTGCCGCTCCGACAGGGAGCACTGCTCTGGACACCTGAACGGCCCGTTCTAACAGCTGTTCACCAGCGGTCCAGTCTGTGCCACAGTGGACACTCCGGACCACACAGTTAATATTAACGAACGCACCCGTAGCTAATGTAGCTGCTGAAGCTAGACCATCATCGCGGCCGCAGATTACTCCGGGTCCCAGACCCCCCCCATACCCCAAAAACATTTTTATTGCAGATCTACATGAATCACACACACGACCTATTTTGGATTCAAAATGGCGAATTTCGCCGAAAGGTGACAAGTTTGCATCCCTGTTGGGTGTAAAGATGACTTATACAGTGAACTGACTCCTTTAAAAAGGTCTCCTATCATGCAAAATGCACTTTCTGATGCCTTCTCTACATCACCATGTGTCCCCGGTGTGTCAGGAGACTCTCAAAGTGTCAGGAAATAAACCTCTCTTCTCCTCCGTACCCACATCTCTAAAAACGGGGACCAACGGAGCTGATCCAAATTTGCTGCGTCATGATGACATTACTAAAATGTGGGCGGGCTTTACGCCCACGGGCCAATCAGAAACGTTGCTATCAGACACTCGTCCACTCAGCACCCTCCTCCTTCTAGATTTCTCTGAACAGAAACTGGACGTTTAAAGACTGCAGTCTCACTGTCGTGGCGTCCTTCCTTATTTTTCTATCAAGCCACTAGACCAGGGGTGGTCAACCCGCGGCTCACGAGCCGCATGCGGCTCTTCAGTTCATATCGAAGGTCTGTTAAGTATTGAGTGCTGATCATTCTGACGTAATTTCATTCTCGGATAAAATCGCTCCGTTACTTTCGTCCCGGCTCTCCCTACGTGTGTATGTGTGGTGTCCGGTGTCAGTATGAGAGGATAACAGCGCGTCTAATTTTGATGTGGCCCAAAAGCCAATCACAATAATACCTGCGATGCAGTGAACCAATCACCTTTGAGGGGGGGAAACCTATCGTTGATTAAACACTATCTGACCATGAACTGAGTTTGATCCTAAAATGGCAGGGAAGAAATGCACAGCTAAGCGAAAATATGAAGACGAACATAGGACGTTTTTAGTAGAGTGGGAGAGTTCATGTTTTTTTATCGAACGCAATTGCAAGCCATTTTGCCGTGTATGCCAGACAGCATTAACCCATTTCAAGGCTTCAAATCTTCAGCGCCATTTCACCTCACTCCATGCTAACATCAACCAGGACTCCCCAAAAGGTACGGAACTTCGCAAGCAGAAGATAAACAGCTTGAAAAGTCAGGCAGAAGAACAGACACAGTTTTTCAAAAAAATAACGAAGCACTTTTAAAGTAAGATAAAAAACCTTTTCAATTTTGTTTACTGAGAGTTTGTGTGAGTGCACACAATGTTCATTGTTATGTTAACTGGCCTCTGAATCCCGGCAGGAGAGGTTTGATTCAATTTCTGTCAATATTATGGTGACATTTACAATAAATCTGTCGGAGCAGAGCTATGTGTGTCAGGGTTCTTACGGTCATTCAAAACCTGGAAAAGTCATGGAAATTCAAAATGCTAATTCCAGGCCCTGGAAAAGTTATGGAAAACAATATCTTTCCAAAAGTTATGGAAATGTAACTAAAGTTGCATCAAATATAATTTATATTTTATCTAATCGCCGAAATAGTAATACTATAATGATAATACATACTGTATCGCATAGTAATGAAACGTAAATGGCATTTAACTATCGCTGTATTTTGCTTATTCTCCTGTTCCATGTTAAAATAACTCATTTTCATTTGCCGCTGAGAAAGAGTCATTGCTTTGGTCATGGAAAACTAGGTAAAGGTCCTGGAGAAGCCATTGAAAAGTCATTGGTGAAAAAGTGTATGAACCCTGGTGTGTCTCTCTGTGGGGGGGGGGGGGTGTGTGTGTGTGTGTGTGTGCGTGTAAAGTTTTAGATTTTCATTGTATCTGTGTGAGAGAGAGGGGAGGAAGTAAAGGAGCACAGAGAAAGGCTGAGAACCAAAGAGAGAAGGAGGGGGGGTGCACGCGCATCAGTGCCTGAGTGTTGATGTGGCTCTTAGCCTCTGGCTGGTTGGCCACCCCTGCACTAGACGCCTTAAACAGAAATGTTTTACTTGTTTTCTTTCCTCTATCTTTGTGTTACTCACAGTTGAAGAGTTGCTTGGCCTCCGATGGTTTGGATGATATTGTGCGATGGGTTTGCTCAAAATAAAATAACAAACTTTTACACATGCAACAAAGAAGAGAGGCCTTTACAATGTTCAAAACAAACAGGCAAAAGTCAAATCAAATAAACAACTTAGGTATTCTTTGTTAAGGCTTATATAACTTGATAACTTAAAGGGTAGTTGAACGGTTAAAAGTCTTTCTGACAGGTTGGCCATCTCTGTCTCTTCAGAGGAGGCACCGTGGGGTCTTTTATACTCTGTTGGCTACAGACGTCACGATTAGGTGGCCTTTCTTATAGAAACTAAATACTGGCTCTAACACTCACCATCTGATCCATGAAGGAGACGAAACACCAGAAGGCGTCCACCTCGCTCTCCATCACGTAGAGGACAGGAGACAGCAGGTCGCTCATCCCCTGCACGTAGCCTGAGGACACACACACACACACTTAAAATACACACGGCTGAGGGCACACACCACTACTTAATACACAATTTAGTTTAGTGGATATTACAATAATGTAAACAAACGAGTCAAAACAAGGAACTATTTAATCACAATTATTCACATGATAATTAGAAATGAATGGCATATTTTGATTGGCTAAAAAATGTACCTTAAAAGGAGGTCCATAACAATGCAAGTGATATTCCACAATTCTCAATTCCAAATGCTAACAGCTAACTTTATAAATTATAATTCACGTTCGCCCAATAATCATTTATACCGAACAGTGCCTGAATGCATCTTAATGTAACTTGATGGAACCTTACTTCACCAGCTGCTAACTGCTAACTACTGACAGCTACTACTAACAGATAACTACCAACAGCTAACTGAATACAGTTAACAACTAACAGCTAACTGCTAACTATTAACAGCTACTACTAACAGCTATTACTAACAGTTAACTACTAACAGCTAACTGAATACAGCTAACAACTAACAGCTACTACTCACAGATTCAGTTAGCTGTTAGTAGTTCTACTAAGTAGTAGTAGTAGTTCTACTAACAGCTAACTGAATACAGTTAACTACTAACAACTAACAGCTAAGAACTAACAGCTAACGACTAACAACTTAATACAGCTTACTACTAACAGCTACTGAATACAGTTAACTAACAGCTAACTGAATACAGCTAACTAGTAACAGCTACTACCAACAACTTAATACAGCTAACTACTAACAGCTAACTACTAACAGCTACTACTAACAGCTAACTGAATACAGCTAACTAGTAACAGCTACTACTAACAACTTAATACAGCTAACAGCTAACAGCTAACAACTCACAGATAACTACTAACAGCTAAGAACTAACAGCTAACTGAATACAGCTAACTACTAACGACAGCTAACTGAATACAGCTAACTACTAACAGTTACTACTAACAGCTAACTAGTAACAGCTACTACCAACAACTTAATACAGCTAACTACTAACAACTACTACTCACAGATAACTACTAACAGCTAACTGAATACAGCTAACTAGTAACAGCTACTACTAACAGCTACTGAATACAGCTAACTACTAACAGATAACTGAATACAGTTCTACTAACAGCTAACTGCTAACAGCTACTACTACTGAATACAGCTTACTACTAACAGCTACTGAATACAGTTAACTACTAACTACAGCTAACTACTAACAGTTACTACTAACAGCTAACTAGTAACAGCTACTACCAACAACTTAATACAGCTAACTACTAACAACTAACAGCTAACTACTAACAGATAACTACTAACAGCTAACTGAATACAGCTAAGAACTAACAGCTAACTAGTAACAGCTACTACTAACAACTAACAACTAACTACTCACAGATAACTACTAACAGCTAACTGAATACAGCTAACAACTAACTGAATACAGCTAACTAGTAACAGCTACTACTAACAACTTAATACAGCTAACAGCTAACTGAATACAGCTAACTACTAACAGTTACTACTAACAGCTAACTAGTAACAGCTACTACCAACAACTTAATACAGCTAACTACTAACAACTAACAGCTAACTACTAACAGCTACTACTACTGAATACAGCTTACTACTAACAGCTACTGAATACAGTTAACTACTAACAACAGCTAACTGAATACAGCTAACTACTAACAGTTACTACTAACAGCTAACTAGTAACAGCTACTACCAACAACTTAATACAGCTAACTACTAACAACTAACAGCTAACTACTAACAGCTAACAGCTACTACTCACAGATAACTACTAACAGCTAACTGAATACAGCTAAGAACTAACAGCTAACTAGTAACAGCTACTACTAACAGCTAACAACTAACTACTCACAGATAACAACTAACAGCTAACAGCTACTACTCACAGCTAACTGAATACAGCTAACTAGTAACAGCTACTACTAACAACTTAATACAGCTAACAACTAACTACTCACAGAATACAGCTAACAACTAACTGAATACAGCTAACTAGTAACAGCTACTACTAACAACTTAATACAGCTAACAGCTAACTACTAACAGCTAACTAGTAACAGCTACTACTAACAACTTAATACAGCTAACAGCTAACTACTAACAGCTAACTAGTAACAGCTACTACTAACAACTTAATACAGCTAACTACTAACAGCTACTGAATACAGCTAACTAGTAACAGCTACTACTAACAACTTAATACAGCTAACTACTAACAGCTACTGAATACAGCTAACTACTAACAGCTAACTAGTAACAGCTACTACTAACAACTTAATACAGCTAACTACTAACAGCTACTGAATACAGCTAACTAGTAACAGCTACTACTAACTTATACAGCTAACAACTAACAACTAACTACTCACAGATAACTACTAACAGCTAACTGAATACAGCTAACAACTAACTGAATACAGCTAACTAGTAACAGCTACTACTAACAACTTAATACAGCTAACAACTAACAGCTAACTGAATACAGCTAACTAGTAACAGCTACTGAATACAGCTAACTACTAACAGCTACTGAATACAGCTAACTACTAACAGATAACTGAATACAGCTACTAACAACAGCTAACTACTAACTGAATACAGCTACTACTAACTGAATACAGCTTACTACTAACAGCTACTGAATACAGTTAACTACTAACAGCTACTGAATACAGCTAACTACTACCAGCTACTGAATACAGCTACTGAATACAGCTAACTAGTAACAGCTACTACTAACAACTTAATACAGCTAACAACTAACAGCTAACTGAATACAGCTAACTAGTAACAGCTACTACTAACAACTTAATACAGCTTACTACTAACAGCTACTGAATACAGTTAACTACTAACAGCTACTGAATACAGCTAACTACTACCAGCTACTGAATACAGCTAACTACTAACAGCTACTGAATACAGCTAACTAGTAACAGCTACTACTAACAACTTAATACAGCTAACTAGTAACAGCTACTGAATACAGCTAACAGCTACTGAATACAGTTCTACTAACAACAGCCAACTGAATACAGCTACTACTAACTGAATACAGCTTACTACTAACAGCTACTGAATACAGTTAACTACTAACAGCTACTGAATACAGCTAACTACTAACAACAGCTAACTGAATACAGCTAACTACTAACAGCTACTACTAACAGCTAACTAGTAACAGCTACTACCAACAACTTAATACAGCTAACTACTAACAACTAACTACTAACAGCTAACAGCTACTACTCACAGCTAACTAGTAACAGCTACTACTAACAGCTAACTGAATACAGTTAACTACTAACAGCTACTACTAACAACTTAATACAGCTAACAACTAACAGCTAACTGAATACAGCTAACTAGTAACAGCTACTACTAACAACTTAATACAGCTTACTACTAACAGCTACTGAATACAGTTAACTACTAACAGCTACTGAATACAGCTAACTACTACCAGCTACTGAATACAGCTAACTACTAACAGCTACTGAATACAGCTAACTAGTAACAGCTACTACTAACAACTTAATACAGCTAACTAGTAACAGCTACTGAATACAGCTAACAGCTACTGAATACAGTTCTACTAACAACAGCCAACTGAATACAGCTACTACTAACTGAATACAGCTTACTACTAACAGCTACTGAATACAGTTAACTACTAACAGCTACTGAATACAGTTAACTACTAACAGCTACTGAATACAGCTTACTACAGCTTACTACTAACAGCTACTGAATACAGTTAACTACTAACAACAGCTAACTGAATACAGCTAACTACTAACAGCTACTACTAACAGCTAACTAGTAACAGCTACTACCAACAACTTAATACAGCTAACTACTAACAACTAACAGCTAACTACTAACAGCTAACAGCTACTACTCACAGCTAACTAGTAACAGCTACTACTAACAGCTAACTGAATACAGCTAACTACTAACAGCTACTACTAACAGCTAACTAGTAACAGCTACTACTAACAACTAACTGAATACAGCTAACTACTAACAGCTACTACTAACAGCTACTGAATACAGCTAACTACTAACAGCTATTACTAACAGCTAACTGAATACAGCTAACTACTAACAGCTACTGAATACAGCTAACTACTAACAGCTACTACTAACAGCTAACTGAATACAGCTAACTACTAACAGCTACTACTACTGAATACACAACCCAGTCTCACGGCATTTCGTGTTATAGTCACGACATGTAATCTATTGATTCGTGTTCACCAGCACGATTTTCCCCTTTTTTTCGTGTCACACAGAACGATTTTAAAAGCAATGTATTTCTATTGGTAGTATGCAGAGATGGGGTCGTTACTAAAAAAAAGTAATATATTACATATTACTTTTTAAAAAAAAAGTAATATATTACACTACTTCGTTACTCTCTAGATAAAGTAACTCGTTACTTTACTCGCAGGGCCGGCCCGCCCATCCCTACAGGCAGATCACACAGTGTGCGCGCCACAGTTTTGCCTCTGCGAGACTCCACTTGCCCCCCAATTACTATTGCATTAAGGAAGACATAACACAAGTCTTTCTTTATGCTCTAAAATAGGCTACCAGCCACACAACAAGCTAACAGTCTGTGAAACGTCAAGACACTAATTAATGAAACCAGTTCAAGACGCATTATTCTTATCATCCTTTATGAGCGCAGTAACGGTAAGGTATCTAATTACTTATGTATTTAGTATTCCATAACTTAGTAACAGAGATGGTCAAACTAAAGTGGTAGAGACAGAATTCCTACAATGAAGCGGGACATTGAACTGTTCACCCGTGAGAGGGCGATCAACAAAAGAGAGCGAGCGGCGCGTTGAGGGAGTTCACAGATGAAAAGACTCAGCCATGTTTATGCAGCACTGCACGTGGAGATGTGGTCTCGCAAATCGCGCAGATTACATAGGCCTACATGTATATAAACCGATATAAACCTGCGGCGGAAACCCCTCTAGTCTGTCAGTGAGTGTGATTATTTTATAAAAGTAACGAAGTAACGCGTGTCGGGGCAATGTTAGTAACTGTAGTGTGATTACTGAATTATAAAAGTAACGCGTTATACTACTCCGTTACCGGCATAAGTAATATTATTACTTTGTAACGCGTTACACCCAACTCTGGTAGTATGTTTCGTGCCTGCGTCTTTTGGTCCGGTCGGGTCGTGGAAGACCGGAAGCTGTGGGGTTCATAAAAACATGTTCTTACTCAATATCAAGCCACGATTATTGATTTTATTTTAAATCGTATAATGTCTGACTTTTTTTGTCGTCCGTGAGGAAAATAAATGTCTCAGAGCCTCAGAATACTGACATCTGTATTTTTTAAATATTTTTTTCCTTCTAATTTGTTATTTTTTTCTAAATAACACACTGTTATTTACTCACCAGTAACACACAGTTATCCTTGCTTTTATTGATTTGTTTAATTCCATAATCTCGGGCTTTTTTGGCGTCCGTCAGGAACTGAATTTCAAAATAAAATAACCGGAAACAGACGTAGGCCTATAAAAGGGACATTTCGAGCATCATTGCGATACACAGCCACTGAACTGATTACCCAAGATCCTCAGCTATGGTTTAAGCTTGCTGATTGGATGTTTTAGCCGCAATGCACGTTGGGATATGGTGTTAATGCCATATCAAATCCGAAAAACATTTCGGAGTTTAGGATGGCCGAAGACACTACACTACCCATAATCCCCAGCTATCGTTTAGGACTACAGTCCCCGTGATTAATCTTCAAGCTCTGGGATTGGATGTTGGAGTGGCAGTGCGCCAAGGTTACGCCGAGCGTCAAACAGCTGTTTGAAATGGAACGAAACCACGCCAGACTATCCAAAACTGGACTCGAACGAAGATGTGTAGTTTTATTCATGCTTTCACATAATGTTACAGCATATTGCTATACTATTTCAGACTCAGTCTTTACATTCTTACATTCAAAGAAAATCAGTAATATCTTTAAAAACTACAAGTCCTTTTATATCAGCTGTGCACCGTTATGGTGTAAATATAACCTATCTATGAATTAGATCAAATGTAAAACTCAGCCGAATTAGTGTTGATACTGCAAGGAGACGTATTGTGTGAAGAGAAATTGAAGATGTTGTTTAATTGTTGAATATATTTATGATCCACGTCAAGTATTCAGTTTCGGCGGCATTTCTTCCAGTTTGTCCAGAAGTCTTCTCATCAGGGCTCTATAAATAAAGAACTACGGCAGATCTGTAATATACAATGCAGCCGAACCGTGTATTACAATGCCGTTATGTGATGACTTTCAAAGAGAAAAGCAAGCACACTTTTTTATTTTTTTTTATGTTTTTCTGATTTCATATGGCATTAACACCATATCCCAACGTGCATTGCGGCTGGCTAAACAATCCAATCAGCGAGCTTAAACCATAGCTGAGGATCTTGGGTAATGAGTTCAGTGGCTGTGTATCGCAATGATGCTCGAAATGCCTACGTCTGTTTCCGGTTATTTTTATTTTGAAATTCAGTTCCTGACGGACGCCAAAAAAGCCCGAGATTATGGAATTAAACAAATAAATAAAAGCAAGGATAATTGTGTGTTACTGGTGAGTAAATAACAGTGTGTTATTTTGAAAAAAATAACAAATTATCATTAAAAAAAATACAGATGTCAGTATTCTGAGGCTCTGAGCCGTTTCTTTTCCTCACAGACGACAAAAAAAGTCCAACATTATACGATTTAAAATAAAAACAATAATCGTGGCTCGATATTGAGTAAGAACATGTTTTTATGAACCACACAGCTTCCGGTCTTCCACGACCCGAACGGACAAAAAGACGCAGGCACGAAACATACTACCAATAGAAATACATTGCTTTTAAAATCGTTCCGTGTGACACGAAAAAAAGGGGAAAATCGTGTTGGTGAACACGAATCAATAGATTAGATGTCGTGACTATAAACACAAAATGCCGTGAGACTGGGTTGGAATACAGCTAACTACTAACAGTTAACTGCTAACAACTAACAGTTAACTGAATACAGCTAACAACTAACTACTAACAGCTAACTGAATACAGCTAACAACTAACTACTAACAGTTACCACTAACAGCTAACTGAATACAGCTAACAACTAACTACTAACAGCTAACTGAATACAGCTAACAACTAACTACTAACAGCTAACTGAATACAGCTAACAACTAACTACTAACAGCTAACTGAATACAGCTAACAACTAACTACTAACAGCTAACTGAATACAGCTAACAACTAACTACTAACAGTTACCACTAACAGCTAACTGAATACAGCTAACAACTAACTACTAACAGCTAACTGAATACAGCTAACAACTAACTACTAACAGCTAACAACTAACTACTAACAGTTACCACTAACAGCTAACTGAATACAGCTAACTACTAACAACTAACAGTTAACTGCTAACAACTAACAGAATACAGCTAACTACTAACAGTTAACTGCTAACTACTAACAGCTAACTACTAACAGCTAACTGAATACAGCTAACTGAATACAACTAACAACTAACAGCTAATTACTAACAGTTACTGAATACAGCTAACTAGTAAGAGCTACTACTAACAGCTAACTGAATACAGCTAACTAGTAAGAGCTACTACTAACAGCTAACTGAATACAGCTAACTAGTAAGAGCTACTACTAACAGCTAACTGAATACAGCTAACAACTAACAGCTACAACTAAGAGCTACTACTAACAGCTAACTGAATACAGCTAACTAGTAAGAGCTACTACTAACAGCTAACTGAATACAGCTAACAACTAACAGCTACTACTAACAGCTAATTATTAACAGTTACTGAATACAGCTAACTAGTAAGAGCTACTACTAACAGCTAACTGAATACAGCTAACTAGTAAGAGCTACTACTAACAGCTAACTGAATACAGCTAACTACTAACAGCTAACTGCTAACAGCATACCGGTAAAGCTAACTGATAACAGCTAACGATAGCTTTCCTGCAGATTTCAACAAGTTGTTCACAATGTTAAATGATCTGAGGTTAATGAGGATAATTAGGAACGCCGTAGCGAAGCCTGCGCTATTCATAGCTTACAGGTTATGATGGCGTTCGCAGCCTACAGTAAGCAGCAGGTCATCTGCTGTGCGAGAACTGACCCAGGTCGAAGTCGTACATGCAGTAGGTCATCAGGATGTCATGCAGCAGAACCAGACCCGGGTTATCCAGGCCTTCGTAGAACCTGTTGGTTCTGTCCGTTCTGTTTACGTCTTTCTCTGCAGGCAGATAATATCTGTTACTGATCTGCCTTTCTCTGCTGGGAGGATCCGTGGTTACAGAAACATTATCAGGGCAGTCCATTTAACTGATATCAACATTTCAGAACAGGATAAGTTAAAACCTTAACAAATGTTCACAAACAATAAGTAAAGAAAAAACTTTTTGCGAAACAGTAAATCATTAAATAAAATGTTACTGAAGTCTGAGGAATAAAGAGTGACGTAGATAACAACTCTGAGTGCTCACCGATCAGACTCCTGCAGTCTCTGAGTTTAGAGTTCCTCCTCTCCTGTTGCTCACTCACAGACTTCCACTGCAGCTTCATCCGGAAATACTCATCACTAACACACAGGAAACACGACAACATCAACACAACAACAACAACAACAACATCATAAAGTGACCTCATGATAAAATTGAACACTTTTCTGATGATATACCGCTGCATTTAATAGAGTCATGAAGTCGTACGTTTTGTCTCTGTGCAGGACCTTCCTCTCCTCCACGGTGCTCTCCCAGGGGAAGAAGCCCAGCAGGAACTTCCAGGCTTCTTTCCTCTTAGCGTGGCACAGTCCCTGCACACACAATGAATCACACTCAGTTCACACACAATGAATCATACTCAGTTCACACACAATGAATCATACTCAGTTCACACACAATGAATCATACTCAGTTCACACACACAATGAATCATACTCAGTTCATACACAATGAATCACACTCAGTTCATACACACAATGAATCATACTCAGTTCACACACACAATGAATCATACTCAGTTCATACACACAATGAATCATACTCAGTTCACACACACAATGAATCATACTCAGTTCACACACAATGAATCACACTCAGTTCACACACACAATGAATCATACTCAGTTCACACACACAATGAATCATACTCAGTTCACACACACAATGAATCATACTCAGTTCATACACACAATGAATCATACTCAGTTCACACACACAATGAATCATACTCAGTTCACACACACAATGAATCACACTCAGTTCATACACACAATGAATCATACTCAGTTCACACACACAATGAATCAGACTCAGTTCATACACAATGAATCACACTCAGTTCATACACAATGAATCATACTCAGTTCACACACAATGAATCACACTCAGTTCATACACAATGAATCATACTCAGTTCACACACAATGAATCATACTCAGTTCACACACAATGAATCATACTCAGTTCACACACAATGAATCACACTCAGTTCATACACAATGAATCATACTCAGTTCATACACAATGAATCATACTCAGTTCATACACACAATGAATCATACTCAGTTCATACACAATGAATCATACTCAGTTCATACACAATGAATCATACTCAGTTCATACACAATGAATCATACTCAGTTCATACACAATGAATCATACTCAGTTCATACACACAATGAATCATACTCAGTTCATACACAATGAATCATACTCAGTTCACACACACAATGAATCATACTCAGTTCACACACAATGAATCACACTCAGTTCATACACAATGAATCATACTCAGTTCACACACACAATGAATCATACTCAGTTCATACACAATGAATCACACTCAGTTCACACACACAATGAATCATACTCAGTTCATACACAATGAATCACACTCAGTTCATACACAATGAATCACACTCAGTTCATACACAATGAATCACACTCAGTTCATACACAATGAATCATACTCAGTTCACACACACAATGAATCATACTCAGTTCATACACAATGAATCATACTCAGTTCATACACAATGAATCACACTCAGTTCATACACAATGAATCACACTCAGTTCATACACAATGAATCACACTCAGTTCATACACAATGAATCATACTCAGTTCATACACAATGAATCATACTCAGTTCATACACAATGAATCATACTCAGTTCACACACACAATGAATCAGACTCAGTTCATACACAATGAATCATACTCAGTTCATACACAATGAATCACACTCAGTTCATACACAATGAATCACACTCAGTTCATACACAATGAATCATACTCAGTTCATACACAATGAATCACACTCAGTTCATACACAATGAATCACACTCAGTTCACACACAATGAATCATACTCAGTTCATACACAATGAATCATACTCAGTTCATACACAATGAATCATACTCAGTTCATACACAATGAATCATACTCAGTTCATACACAATGAATCATACTCAGTTCATACACAATGAATCATACTCAGTTCATACACAATGAATCATACTCAGTTCATACACAATGATCACACTCAGTTCATACACAATGAATCACACTCAGTTCATACACAATGAATCATACTCAGTTCACACACAATGAATCATACTCAGTTCATACACAATGAATCATACTCAGTTCATACACAATGAATCAGACTCAGTTCATACACAATGAATCATACTCAGTTCATACACAATGAATCACACTCAGTTCATACACAATGAATCACACTCAGTTCATACACAATGAATCATACTCAGTTCACACACAATGAATCATACTCAGTTCATACACAATGAATCATACTCAGTTCATACACAATGAATCATACTCAGTTCATACACAATGAATCACACTCAGTTCATACACAATGAATCACACTCAGTTCATACACAATGAATCATACTCAGTTCATACACAATGAATCATACTCAGTTCATACACAATGAATCATACTCAGTTCATACACAATGAATCATACTCAGTTCATACACAATGAATCACACTCAGTTCATACACAATGAATCATACTCAGTTCATACACAATGAATCACTCAGTTCATACACAATGAATCAACTCAGTTCATACACAATGAATCACACTCAGTTCATACACAATGAATCACACTCAGTTCATACACAATGAATCACACTCAGTTCATACACAATGAATCACACTCAGTTCATACACAATGAATCATACTCAGTTCATACACAATGAATCACACTCAGTTCATACACAATGAATCATACTCAGTTCATACACAATGAATCATACTCAGTTCACACACACAATGAATCAGACTCAGTTCATACACAATGAATCACACTCAGTTCATACACAATGAATCACACTCAGTTCACACACACAATGAATCAGACTCAGTTCATACACAATGAATCACACTCAGTTCAACACAATGAATCATACTCAGTTCATACACACTGAATCACACTCAGTTCATAACACAATGAATCAGACTCAGTTCATACCACAATGATCATACTCAGTTCATACACAATGAATCACTCAGACTCAGTTCTACACAATGAATCATACTCAGTTCATACACAATGAATCACTCAGTTCATACACAATGAATCATACTCAGTTCATACACAATGAATCATACTCAGTTCATACACAATGAATCACACTCAGTTCACACACACAATGAATCATACTCAGTTCATACACACAATGAATCAGACTCAGTTCATACACAATGAATCATACTCAGTTCATACACAATGAATCATACTCAGTTCATACACAATGAATCACACTCAGTTCATACACAATGAATCACACTCAGTTCATACACAATGAATCACACTCAGTTCATACACAATGAATCATACTCAGTTCACACACACAATGAATCATACTCAGTTCATACACAATGAATCATACTCAGTTCATACACAATGAATCACACTCAGTTCATACACAATGAATCATACTCAGTTCACACACAATGAATCATACTCAGTTCACACACACAATGAATCATACTCAGTTCATACACAATGAATCACACTCAGTTCATACACAATGAATCACACTCAGTCATACACAATGAATCACACTCAGTTCATACACAATGAATCATACTCAGTTCATACACAATGAATCATACTCAGTTCATACACAATGAATCACACTCAGTTCATACACAATGAATCACACTCAGTTCATACACAATGAATCATACTCAGTTCATACACAATGAATCACACTCAGTTCATACACAATGAATCACACTCAGTTCATACACAATGAATCATACTCAGTCATAACACAATGAATCACACTCAGTTCATACACAATGAATCATACTCAGTTCATACACAATGAATCACACTCAGTTCATACACAATGAATCATACTCAGTTCATACACAATGAATCATACTCAGTTCATACACAATGAATCATACTCAGTTCATACACACAATGAATCACACTCAGTTCATACACAATGAATCACACTCAGTTCATACACAATGAATCACACTCAGTTCACACACAATGAATCACACTCAGTTCATACACAATGAATCATACTCAGTTCATACACACAATGAATCATACTCAGTTCATACACAATGAATCACACTCAGTTCATACACAATGAATCACACTCAGTTCACACACAATGAATCACACTCAGTTCATACACAATGAATCACACTCAGTTCATACACAATGAATCACACTCAGTTCACACACAATGAATCACACTCAGTTCATACACAATGAATCATACTCAGTTCATACACAATGAATCACACTCAGTTCACACACAATGAATCACACTCAGTTCACACACAATGAATCACACTCAGTTCATACACAATGAATCATACTCAGTTCATACACAATGAATCACACTCAGTTCATACACAATGAATCATACTCAGTTCATACACAATGAATCATACTCAGTTCACACACACAATGAATCACACTCAGTTCACACACAATGAATCACACTCAGTTCATACACAATGAATCATACTCAGTTCATACACAATGAATCACACTCAGTTCATACACAATGAATCACACTCAGTTCATACACAATGAATCATACTCAGTTCACACACACAATGAATCACACTCAGTTCATACACAATGAATCACACTCAGTTCACACACAATGAATCATACTCAGTTCATACACAATGAATCACACTCAGTTCACACACAATGAATCACACTCAGTTCATACACAATGAATCATACTCAGTTCACACACAATGAATCATACTCAGTTCATACACAATGAATCATACTCAGTTCATACACAATGAATCATACTCAGTTCATACACAATGAATCACACTCAGTTCATACACAATGAATCATACTCAGTTCATACACAATGAATCATACTCAGTTCATACACAATGAATCACACTCAGTTCATACACAATGAATCATACTCAGTTCATACACAATGAATCATACTCAGTTCACACACAATGAATCATACTCAGTTCATACACAATGAATCACACTCAGTTCATACACAATGAATCACACTCAGTTCATACACAATGAATCACACTCAGTTCATACACAATGAATAATACTCAGTTCATACACAATGAATCATACTCAGTTCACACACAATGAATCATACAGTCATACACAATGAATCACACTCAGTTCATACACAATGAATCATACTCAGTTCATACACAATGAATCATACTCAGTTCATACACAATGAATCACACTCAGTTCATACACAATGAATCACACTCAGTTCATACACAATGAATCATAC